AAAAAAACCCCACACTCCTACAGGTCTTATGTTGTGTTCTTATCACACACACAAAACAATAATAATAATCGATAAATAAAGAGGGCGGGAGGAAACTTCTGGAGGTGATGGATGTATTTATGGCACAGATTGTGGTGTTGGTCTCATGGGTGTGGACTTGTCTCCAAGCTCAACAAGTTGTATACACTAAATACGTACAGCTTTTTGTATGTCAATCATCCCTCAGTAAAGTGGTTTAAAAACAAAAACTGTGCTACTCCTAGAAGAAGACATGAACAAACTAAAAGAACTCCCTAGAAGAGGACTGGAAATTATAAAACATCAAGAGGCAGAAAGTAGGGCCTGTGCAAAGGGAGACATTTGGAGACCTGTATTAAAACATCACCTATGTGAGCCACTAGCCGGGATGCTCTGGGCATCAGGACCTCGGATGGCCGTCGCACGTGGCCCTGGGCTTCCTCTGGCTAGTTGGCCAAACACGTTTCTCTGAGGACACCCCTTCAACAGAGCTGCTGCCTGGAGGCGAGACCTCTGGAAGCTCCCATCGCTCCCCACCTGCTCATGAGCAAGCAGTGCATGACATGTGGCCCCAAACTACGTGCTTCCAGAAGTTACCAGCAGGATGGGCTAGTAGTTCATTAATGAATCATTTATGAAGGAAATTACACCCAACGACGTTCGAAGTTGGCCAAATCAGAATAAAGTTTTAGGCGCTGAGGGTGAAGGAACAGGTAAACAGAGCCGATGCTTGCTGCTTCCAACACCCTGTCCCCGCTCTTCCCGGCCGGAGCCACCGTCCATTTACTCTCACTCCACTTGCCCAGAAACCAACAGCACTCAGAGGCCGGGGCAAACTCTGCTGGGAGCAGCTCTTGGCATGACACTGTGAAAATCGCCTACTAAGATGGAAAATAAGATGAATAGGTAAAACCCATGAACGACCAGGTCCCGAGTGCAGCAGAGAAGATGCGGCCAAGTTCTAGCCTTGGGGACTAATGCACGGTTTGAACAGCTCGGCCAAGACCTAAGCTGCGGATGCTGATATCGTTTAAAGTCATACTGCTGCTCCGAGATGAAAAAGGCTACCTTTGAGTTTAACGCACACTTGAGGGGCGTTTCCTTCAGCCTGTTCTGGATCTCTGTGGACGCTCCGTTCTGTAGCAACGTCTCTATGATGCTCTGGTAACCCCAGCGGGCAGCAATGTGCAGGGGAGTGTCTCCTTTCTCGTTACCAATATCTAGTCTGCAGGACTGCACGTCATAGTAGACCAGAGCCTTCACACACTGCAAACAGAATGGGAAAGGCCGCTGTGAACTCACAGGCCCGGCCTTGGGCAGATCTGTGCAGCCCGCAGCCTCGGCCCACGTCCCAATTCGATCAAGGCACCATCTGCCAAGCAAACATACAGTAACAGAACATTAGACCTCCAGGGTTCCAGATCACCTGATCAGGACACATGGTTTTTGTTTTTGTTTTTAAAGAACCCAACTGCCATTCAATAAGAAATGGCTGAATAAATTGTCACACATCATGTGCAGAAAGGAGTCACCAGAGCAGGCCTGAGACCGCCATCCCCGGAAAGGCCTGCTTGCAAGGCTGGCCCCCTTGACCTGCGATACTCCTTGGGAGCTTGGATCTGGGGAGTGTTCTCACAGTCCCCTGACTGATGAGAGGGGCTCAGTGGGCCTAGTTTGCCCAACAGTGGTTTATGCTGAACACCTGCTGTCCTTCTGGGAGTCTGGAATGTTGAAATGTTCTAGGCAAAAGGGTGTTCACACGACCAGCCTCCAACCAAAATCTTGGGCACTGAGTCCCCAATGAGCTTCCCAGAAGGAAAACACTTTGCACGTGTTGTTAACGACCCGTTACTGGAGGAATAAGCTGTCCTGAGTGACTCCACAGGGAGATGCGCTTGGAAGCCTGCACCTAGTGTCCTCCGGACTTCATCCTTGGACCCTCCCTTTGGCTGATTTTGCTCTGTGTCCCTTTACTGCAATAAATCACAGCTGTGCATACAACCATATGCTCATCCTGTGAGCCCTCCTAGCGAACCACTGAACTGGGGAGTGGTCTTAAGGACCCTGACACAACACACGTCATAGACTATGTGTCGCGATTACAGAACGGGTTAGATCTACATTTATTGACCTATGGGATGCCCATGATTAAGTTAGGAAAATAAGCTGCATAAAATCGTGTAGGGTATGATCTCGTTTTCGCTCATCAACCACCTAACCCAGGCTCAACCCACATCTGTATAAATCTACCTGGATATTAGCATGGAGAGAAGTGAGAGAGGGTGGTTAGGAAAAGAATAACACACACACACACACACACACACAGAGTTAAATATTAAGCAAACACGGAAATGATGAAATTCCTTGATATTTCTTTAAAAATATAAAATGTAAAAATTGAGTATGAAGAAAGGTAAGAAGCAGATGGTAGCGGAGATGAATGCACATGATTTCATTTCAGGAAAAGACAATTATGTTTTAGATTTCTGTTATTTCAATACAGCATCTGTAATGTGTTTTTAAATTTTTTAATTAAAAAAATTATATGCCAAATGTTCCAATAACTGTCAACATAAAATACGACATTCAACCGACTGGAAATTCACTTTTCTCTGTGAGAAAGGGTAAACACGGCCGCCCTCGGCGCAGCAAGGACCACTTACGTCTTCGTGGCCGTAGGTGCAGGCCAGGTGCAGAGGGGTGTTGCCGTTGTTGTCTTGCACTTCGGTGCTGGCTTTGTAGTGCAGCAGCAGCAGCTTCCAAAGGAGAGGGGAGAGCAGTGAGCACCAGCAAGCCCGGCAGTGCAGGCGCGTGCTTCCTCAGGAGCACGGCCTAGAGCCTCACAGCGGGAAGTCGCTGGTCTCCATTTTCAACCTTATCTACTTACACTACAATTAAAATTATATCAACCCTATAATGGAAAATAATCTGAAAAGGAATATATATTATATATAGAGAGAGAAACACATTTTATATATATATATACACACACACATATATACCTGAATCACTTTGTTATATACCTGAAACTAACACACTGTAAATCAACTATACTTTTAAACAAAAAAATTTTTTTTTTTTTTTTCGGTACGCGGGCCTCTCACTGCTGTGGCCTCTCCCGTCGTGGAGCACAGGCTCCGGATGCGCAGGCTCAGGGCCATGGCTCACGGGCCTAGCTGCTCCACGGCATGTGGGCTCCTCCCGGACCGGGGCACGAACCCGTGTACCCTGCATTCGCAGGCGGACTCTCAACCACTGCGCCACCAGGGAAGCCCCCAAAATTATTTTTAATTTTAAAAAACCAAAGCAAAAAATATTATCTTCACTCTCATCCTTCCTGATAAAAAGTTTAGAGATTACTAAAAAAAAAAAAAAAAAAAAAGAGTGGATATATGTTTATGTATAACTGATTCACTTTGCTGAACACGTGAAACTAACACAACATTGTAAATCAACTCTACTCCAATAAAAGTTAAAAATAGAAAAACAGAAAGAAAGAAAAACAACCCCCATCAATCACTAGCAGTAACTGAGGCACTTTATGTACCAAACAACTTAAGCTGAAATTGAAACGTCACTGATCGGCAAAATAATTTTGCCTTTCTAGTTTCTGGCCCGTCTTCTCATCAGTAGATGTTAAGTCTACGGGAAAGTCCATCTTGGGGCCCTATTTAAAATATTTCTAGTACCTTGGGGGTGGGTGAAGGAAAATCCTATCTCATTATTTAAAAGTATGATACAAAAAATAAAGTTTAGAGATTAAAAAAATCTACAGCCCCACCCTTCCTCCCCCATATTACCGAGACATTTCAAATCTACACCTAATAGCTTTTGCCCAGCAGACCCTCCGTGAGGTGCCTGAGACCCCAGCCCTCCCTGCGGCCCGACCGAGCCAGTGTGGAACACAGGAGGGGCCAGCCCTGCAAAGCCGCGTGCAGAGCCAGCCCGTCCGAGCCCAGATGCTCACCGTCACGCTCTGACAGCCCTTCTGACACGCAAGATGCAGCGGGGTGGAGCCATGGTAGTCTGTAGCGTTCACCACCGCGCCCTTGGAAACCAGAAAGTCGATGAGGGATGCCTGCCCTACAGAACAGAAGGGAAGAGAGCGGGCTTTCCAAACCCTGCAAGCGAAGCCATGGCATTATTTCACCCTCTCATCCCCTGGCACGAGACACGCCGGGAGGCATTTTTCTGCTTAGGGGGAACAAGTGCTAACGTGAAGTCAGACTCTGCAGATTCCAAACACTCTGGGGTAGCCCCTGGAGGGGACTCGGCTGCAGTCCAGCCCCCAGCCACAGAAGGTAGGAGAAAAGAGCCTTAGATATCCACAGAAGAGTCCATGGTGCATCAATCTACAGGATGGAATACTGCGCAACCAGTAAAAAAATACTGCCATGGAGAAATGTTCTTACGTGTCGCCGAGTGAAAAAAGCACCGTACAGAAAAGTATGATCCCCACAGCATCATCTATTTTACACACACACACTCACAAGCATGCTGACATTTCAGACAGTCATGAATCAAAATGATCTCTGGGAGACAGAATGGCGGGTGATACTACAGATGCTTGTGTTTGTGTTTTCTACCTTGAAAGTGCACATTTTTTTTTTGCATGTGCACTTTAAAAGACAGTATAGCACAGAGAACTGTATTCAATGTCCTATGATGAACTATACTGGAAAAGAATGTTTAAAAAAAAAGAATAAAAAAATAAATTAAAGACAGTAAAGTTATATTTTTTAAAGGAGGAATATAAGAACCCCAATTCTGAGGCCATTCTCATAGTTCAGATTCAAGCCTTCCCTGGCTGGACCACCAGCCCAGGGGCAGTACCAAGCATCCACACGGTAAGCCCCAGCAGCCACCCACTCTCTGCAGGGCCATCCTCGGCCCCATCCCTTTGCCCACGTACCGCAAAGGGCAGCCACATGGAGTGGTGTATGACCCCTGTCGTCTCTGGAGAATGGAGTGACAATGGAGGGGTCATTCAGCCTCCTAAAAGAGAAAGAGGATACAGAGAAATACACCAGGGTCCTGGGACAAGAAGACAGATCTCCAGGTATGATCCAAGCTGGGTCTCCTCTACCGTGTCCCAGAGAGCAGAAGCCCCGACTTCCTCAGGGCCTCTCTCCCCACCCACCCCTCCAGGCCTTGACAACCAGCAAAAGAGCCCAATAAGGATAAGGAGAAACCAGAAAGGTTACAGGCAGGAGCCGACAGTCCTCCCATCCTAAAATCCACTTTCCGAGCCTGGGGCACGCCCTCTGCCCACCTCCCCTGGTAAAGCAGCCTAGCAGGGTGCCAGGTATGTTTACAATCTTTATTCCACTTGATTCTCCAAAGGGACAGACATTACTCTCTCCACTTCACAGCAGAGGAAGCAGAGTGCAGCGAGGATAAGTTCCTTATTCCAAATCTCACAGCAAACAAGTGGGAAAGTTCCGCCCAGGCCCCGAGTCTCCCCCTTCCTGGCGCTGAGCCCACATAGGACCCTCGTACCCTGAGACGAGTTTCTCACAGTCATCACAGAAGCACAGAGGGTGACACATCTTTTGGACGGCATCTTTATCTCGGTCTTCCTGGCTCAGAAGTCTTTCCACTTCTTTCTGGTTACCTGATGCGATGTGCTAAAAAGTGACATCAAAAGCACTATTGATGTGAAGGAACTATTCGCTCTCTAAGGTGTGAATTTTCTGAGCATCCTTACTGAAACACACATCTACGTATGGATGGATGAAACAATTTGCTCTCTGGGACTTGTTTCAAAATAATTTGGGTGGACGGGGAAAAGTGGGGCAGGGGACAGAAATGAAACAGGATTGGGAGATGGCTACACGGGAGTTCCTTAATTGCACTACTCTCTTTTATTTTTATAAATGTTAGGGTTTTTCCAAAACTAAAGAAACAACGACATGACAAAATTCCCAGAGCCGCAGGAGTAGGGGGGCAGTACATCCTAAGCCTTGGTGTAGACTTCGACCCCCATTAAAGGGTCAAATCGTCTAGGAATCCAGTAGAGCCTTGGTTTGCAGGACAGCTGCAATTATCACAAGACCCCATCAACAAGCGAACCTGCAGGGCTCACCTGTGAGGCCTGGATGTATTCCCCACAGGGAGTGAGATGTTCTGAGGAGTGCACAGCTCTGGGTCCTCCTCCGTGGAACCCACCCTGGCCCCGGGTGGCCCTCTGACGGCTGCCTCGTAGGGAACCGCGCCAGCCTCCCAGCGGTAGGTCAGATCTGAGGAAGGAGCCGCCTGCCTCTGCCTGAGGATCCGACCACCACCAGGTGCCTTGCTCCCAGCCCAGCACACTCACATGAACATCTGTAACTGGGGCTCCCGGAGCCAAGCAGAGGCGTCAGTTCTGGCAGAGCTGCCAGTGAGGCGCCACTGAGCTGACTGGGAAGGACCAGCCATGTTTCGCCAGATGGGGAGAGGAGGACAGCCGGGCAGAGGGTTCCACACGCAGGGCCCGGTGCCCTCGCTATGCTGCCCAGTGGGGCTACGGCGCAGCTCACGTCGGGGGAGACGGGCAGCCGAGCTGATCCAGCATCCGTATCGCTCCCTCGAGCACAAAATGAACTCCTACACTGAACTACGCAGACCACCCTGATGGATTCTACAGAGGTGTGGGAGGATGGAGAGCCCCTCACATATCTGTGCCCGCAGGACCTCTGCGTGTCTTACCTGAAACAAGCAGTCAATGGGAGTTGAGGTCAGCTGAGACAGCAAGCTCATTCTCTGCTTAAGGAACAGTCTGTCACCAAACCCCTCGGACTCCTGCAAGAAAAGCCGACAACCCATTTTATCCCACGTCGTGAGCTGTCAGTGCAGATCCTTGAAAACAGAGGACCCAGGAACGCTCCCTGCTGTTTCCCACAAAACAGGACCAGCAGTGCCTCTCCCCGCCCCCAGGGAGCCGCACAACAGACCCTCATCAGGCTGGGAGAGGGGCTCCCTGTCTGCCTCTCCAGGAAGTGGGGCTCTGATGACAGCTTCCTGGCAGGAATCTGGGAGGGGGCAGCACGATGGTTCCGTGTGTGTGTGTGTGTGTGTGTGTGTGTGTGTGTGTGTGTATGTGGAATGTGGCATCTCTAAGTGTGAAATGTGGCATGCACACAGCACCATCCCCCACGTGGAAACCTGGATTGTCCCGGCCTCCCCCTCCTCTCAAAACAACTGTCCTAATGCCTGCAGAGCCCTGTCCGCTGCATGTTACCTGGGTCCACAGACAGGGGAACCATGTGACAGGCTGGTCTACCCTTCCCAGTGTGAACCAGCAAGAGAGAGAAGGGTCCTGCTTTTTGAACATACTTACTAAAACATCAGACAACACGGCCACTGGCCCAAAGTCCAATAAAATATGGGGTCCACCCCAAGAATAAACTCAGGTCTTCACAGTGCAGGTAATTTTTACCTGGATATAGAAATCTAAAAATGTATCCTTTCTCTATGAAATCATTTCCAGTGAGACACTTCAATGCTCACTTGAGCACCTGTGACTAAATTGGTAACAAATTAACTTCCTCGAAAAGAATCTTGGTGGGAAACAGATGGAATTGTTTCCAGCCAGCTGCTGCCAGAAGAACTCACCAAACCCTGAGAAAATTATGGGAACATTTCTCTCTGTGGCCCCCTAGGTTCTGCCGAAGAGGTCCAGTTAAAGACAGAGGTGGCAGCATTTCTGGGGCCCACTGCCAAGCAGGGCCCCTCATGCCAGCCGCCCTCATGGGGTTGTCTTGGCAGACAAACACCAACCCTCAGACATAGAGCTCCCTTTGCTCCCCGTCGGTATATGCTGTGTAAGGCTCGATCAACCTGTTTTATTCAGGGATCTACAGCTGAGCTGTAAATCAGAGAAACATCAAAGACCTTATTGTTCAGGTAAATTTGGGGCTCCTTCCTCCACTTAGGTGACTGTTTGAAGGGCACTGATGAAAAGAGGCAGGTCTTCCAGGACTGACTGGTCAGGGAAGACTGAGCAACCAGAAGAGATAGCATATCAGCTAAGACCAATTCGGGAAAAGGTAAATACTATTTATTGGAAGCCCAGTAATGTGAAAAAAACCTGCAAAGCTGGAGCAGAGAAGGGTGGAGATCCTTTCAAGGTTCTCCTCCATTTTTTTCTGTCCACAAAGGTAAATCTAGAGTCATCCCAGTAATGGTTATTTTCAAAAAAGCTCAAGTCTTCATTAATGAACATGCTTAAAGAATGTTTACGGTCATCTCAAGTATGATTATGTCTTGGGGAGAAAATTTCTGTGAAACTACATTATAGTATATAAAGAGTCAACAGTAAAACGTTATTTGATTTCCTAACACTTAGTCCTTAATGCTTTTCAGAAACCTCACCTGCTGTGTGGAGATACACTTGGGCTCCTTCCCCGGGAAATTCTATCAATACCAACAAGCAGCCGTGGCCTCGCACTTTCCTAGACGGAACTGCACTAAGGCACAGGCAATGCCACAGACGGAATCCCAACGCTGGCATCACAAAAGACAAGGAAGCCACAACACCTGCTCTGTCCATAAAGGTAGAAGGACGTCTCTCAGGCCTGACCCACTCAAGACCCAAGGCTCGGGCTCCACGGCCAGCTGAGAGGATGATGCAGCCTTGTTGCAATTCCAGGGGGACCAACCACCCTCCAATCCGGGAGGGCAGGACCAGGGTCTGACAGCCCAGACAAGACGGGCGCACTGGGCTGTGTCCCCCCCTTGCCCACCCAAGCTAATGGCCGTCCTTGGGGCTATTCACGCAGGATGCACCAGACAGCCAGGAAACAGAGGCATCCAGATGCCGGTGTTGCCAGATCAAGGAAGGGCATCAGTATCACGTAACACTTCAAAAAGGCACTTTCAAATATGACATTTGATCCTCGCAACAACCTGGCAAGGGTGAAATACCTAACACGATCCCCAGTGTAGACAGGAGGGACAGAGGCTCAGAGAGACAAACTGACTTGCCCAAGGGCTGGACTCAAACCAACACCAGCACAAGAGGGGCCACGCCTCAAACACTGCCACAATCCCACTTGGAATATTTTCTGAAAGAAAAGTATGTGTGAGAAGCTGACTGTTAGTGTTTGGTCAACCACCTCTTTACTCTCTGGCCAAAGGCCTTCAAGCATTGGACTTCCTGCCTACATGCCACGGAAAGTAAGAAAGCAGGATGGTTGTGGTACAGGATGGGTGCAGCAAGGGGACGGGAGCACCTTCAAGAGGTGGGCACCTCCCTCCAGGTGACAAGGGGCACCCCTGGCCCCAGCAAGGAGCATCAGGCAAGTCCTCTGCAGGGTAGTGGGTCCAGGAGGGGAGACCCATCAGAGGGAAAGAACCAGAAGGGCAGGGCCATGATGGAAAACCTCCGCAGGCACCATGGGAACAACACGTGTTCCTAGAACCTCACAGAAGACAATTCAAACTAAGAAATCTTGCTGCCCAACTCTGGAAGTGAGTGGCATCTCTTTTTTTTTTTTTTTTATAAACTTATCTATTTATTATTTTATTTTTGGCTGCACTGGGTCTTTGTTGCTAGGCACGGGCTTTCTCTAATTGTGGGGGCTACTCTTCGTTGCGGTGCACAGGCTTCTCATTGCTGTGGCTTCTCTTGTTGCAGAGCATGGGCTCTAGGCGTGCCAGCTTCAGTAGTTGCAGTATGCACGCAAGGCTCAGTAGTTGCGGCTCGTGGGCTCTAGAGCGCAGGCTCAGTAGTTGTGGCGCACGGGCTTAGTTGCTCCGCGGCATGTGGGATCTTCCCGGACCAGGGCTCGAACACGTGTCCCCTGCCTTGGCAGGTGGATTCTTAACCACTGCGCCACCAGGGAAGCCCCGAGTGACATTTCTGACTCTGCAGACCTGTGTGTATGCAGAGGCGCCCGTGAACACACACATGTGCATTCTAGAATGTTAATAATTTCCCCCTAAATTAGAAACAACTTTTCACGGGAGTCACAGCCAGCCACATCTGAGATGAGATGCACAGCCTCTAATTTCACCTGCGTATGTGTGTGGGCAATCAAATCAGAGCAGAACTTAATTCTTCAGCAAGCACCGTGATACTGTCAGGCTATGTGCCAGCAAGTGCAGCATAAGCTCAAATTCTGTTTAAAAATATAATTGTATAAGTGCAGAAAAAAGACATATACCAAAATGTTAATAAGTCATCCCCAACTAGTGTGTTTATGGGAGGCTTTTGTTGTCTTCACTGCTACTTTTTATATTTCACATATTAGTTACAAGCAAATAGTTTTCTAATCAGAAAAAAATAGAACTCTTCATTTTGGGGAAAAAGTATACAAGGCTATCTACATTACAATTTCAATTATGTAAAGTATACATGGCAAGGAAAAAGACTAGAAAATACATAAACATGTTAACAATAAATGAATTCAGGGAACTGCTTGTACCCGAGTGTTCCTGTCTGAACAGGCCTATGTTCTTTTCCACGTGTTTCAACTTATTACTTTGGGAGCTTCTAACATCAGGGGAAAATTAAGATCGAAGTTCAATCCTCAGGACTCTTGGTGTTTTTTTGGTTTTTTTTTTTTTTTTGGCTGCCTTGGGTCTTTGTTGCTGCATGTGGGCTTTCTCTAATTGCGGCGAGCGGGGGCTACTCTTCGTTGTGGGGCAGTGGCTTCTCTTGTTGCTGAGCACGGGCTCTAGGCGTGCAGGCTTCAGTAGTTGCAGCATGTGGGCTCAGGAGTTGTGGCTCGCGGGCTCTAGAGCACAGGCTCAGTAGTTGTGGCGCACGGGCTTAGCTGCTCCGCAGCATGTGGGATCTTCCTGGACCAGGGCTCGAACCCGTGTCCCCTGCACTGGCAGACAGATTCTTAACCACTGCGCCACCAGGGAAGTCCCAGGACTCTTGGTTTTTAATACAGAAATCTCTTCATTCGATTGATTTCAACTTTGCAATTTCTGTGAGTACTGTCATGTTTTGCTGGTTGGTATGGCAGTGAAATAAGCCAGCAGTGCAACCTTGGTTCAAGAGTCTCACAGTTCTCATGGGAACATCATCGCCTCCACTAGCCAAAGCTCATCAATCAACCAAGAAAATAATAATAGGGACACTGAGTCCTGAAAACTGCAGACGTTAGTAATCTCATCTCCTGCCCATCATGATCAGGATACCCCAGGTTCACCGCTTCTAGCTTCCCCTTCTGCCCGTGTGCTTTTGAGGATGACAGGGATTAATGAAGCAGATCAACAATGTGAAGGACAAGATAACGCGCAAACTTTCACAACCTACGGGGGCCTAGTGTTCACTCACTGGGCTGAGGCCCCATTCTCTCGGGAGAGCATCTCTGACGGCCCCTCCCCCACACCACCCTGAGAACCCCATCACACACGCCGTGACACCCACAAAAAAAGGGCAGAGAAGGAGGGAGGTCTTACCAGTGGCTTAACGGAGAGGCTTCCCTGCCGAATATATTCAATTGCAGCCTCAACTGAGGTCAGGCAGTATCCCAGTTCATCTTTTGCTGAGCTGCTAAATCTGAAGTTTTTGATATAACTCAAATTTGCCATCCTAATAGAAGGAAGAAAAAAGTTTTATTGTTGTATACCCAATTAACACTTTGGCAGAAACAATGCTGTTGGCTTCATCATCAAGTCGGTTGGCTCCTGGGAGCCAGGGCTGCTTGTCCCTGGGTCTTTATCTAGAGGGAGCACAATTAGGAAAATAAGTGAAGCTACTTGCGACTTTCCTGGAATGGGCTAGTTTTTAGAGAGCTGGTAATTATACAGGGAACTTGCATTTCTGTGGGAAAAGGATGGGCTTTGGAGCCGGACAGAATTGGAGTCTGCTTCCCGCTCAGCCACTGACTAGCCACATGCTCCAGAATGAGAAACGTAAGCTCGCTGGCTCAGTTTCCCCATCTGTACATGGAATGACAGCCACCCCTTGCAGGACGAAAGCAGGGCAGTACCTGGCTCATAAGGGGCACTCAGTTTCCTAGAGTGACACTAAAACCACCCCAGTACAGTGCTGCCATTTTGAAAAAGCATTTTAACAAAAAATATTACCAATTAGGGATCTCTGTTTTCACAAGCAAATACAACAGGACTGATAGCAGATCATCAGCGCACATGGTCTCCAAGTTAACTGCAAGGGGGAAACACATGTTCAAAGCCATCCTGGGACTCAAATGGACCGACAAGTGTTATCAACTCCCCACCACCATCCAACCCACAAAACCACAATCCAGGAAGATGACACATCAGGGAGAAATTCAATCGCACGATTTCCTTTCTAGCGTCCTGAATAGATGTCAGATTCCAGGGGAAAATGAATGCTTCGCATCCTCTGAACACGTGCAGAAGAAGCAAACTGCAAGCAGACCACCCCTCGCTACCTCCCGGGACAGATAAAGAGCCCAAGGAAGTCAGCAATGGTGGATACAACTTGAAGGCGTGCCCGAGGCACTGCCAGAAGCCTCTTTCCTCCGGGATCATTTCTGTTTTATACACCTCAGAGTCTAATGCCGACCTGCAGCTTGACTCTACTGTTCTCATTAAAATTTTGTTTAAGTAATCCATTCACACATTTAAAATTTCAAAAAGTACAAAAGAGCCAACCGTGCACATCTCTCCCATCCCTGCCACCCAGACTTCTTTCCCAGAGGCCACTGCTGTTGCTTCCCACGTACCTGTCCACAGACAGTCTATGATCTCCCCATTGTATATATGGATACAGAGTCGCCCCCTTTCCGCAATGCTGCTGGAAGGGTACCATACACACTCCTGTTCTTTCATTCATCGATAATACGCTTTGAAGATCACCCCCTATCTGCCCACACAGATCTGCCTTCTCATTACTTTTTTCTTAGCTTATTTTGTTTTTACTTTTTATAATGGAAAATTTTAAACGTATACAAAATTAGAGAGAACAACTTAACAGTTGAACCCCCATGTTTCCATCACCAGTTTGGCTCGTTTTTGAGGCCGCTGCTTCTCCACCAGCATTTTCTCACCCTAAAGACGCCTCACCTACCCTGCCCCCCGACCCCCATTACTAGGCACCCGCTCCTCAGATCCGACGCCAGGCCACTCACACAGAAATGCTCTGTTGCCCATCCACCCATCTCTATGAGCCTTTAAGATGACTGCTTCTCAACAGATGTTTGCAGCTGGATGTATGCAGCCACCCCACTGCAGGTCCCTTCACCGAGCACACACCTCTCTGGCTGGGAGACTGGGTGATCAGCTGCACCACCTTCCACAAACAAGCCAGCTTCTGCTGCGGGGACGTGCACCTGTTCAGCTGAGCCAGCTCCCTCTTGGCACGAGGTATGTTGAAGCTGCAAAATAATTTGGAAAGTGACCACATAAGACCACGGTGTGAGGGCCCTCCTTCTCGGATCTAATCCCATACCTCAGATTCACATTTCTTACAGCAAACCGTAAGTAAAGACAAACAAAACTAGAAACTCAGAAGTAATCGGACTCGGGTCACTGGCAAAACCCAGCAGCTTTCAAGGTGCCAATCAAGCTGCCAGGTGATGTAGCTGTACCAGAAAATTAGGAAAAAAAATCAGCAAGCCTTAGCCCCAGAATGAAATAGGCCAATGGGCGGGGGGGGGGGGGGGGGGGGGGGGGTTGAAAAAAATAAATTATTTTTTTTTTTTTTTTTTTTTTACTTTTTGGCTGAGCTGCACAGCATGCGGGATCTTAGTTCCCCAACCAGGGATCGAACCCGTGCCCCCTGCAGGGAAGCACGAAGTCTTAACCGCTGGACCACCAAGGAAGTCCCTAGACATTTTTGTAATAAAATGAAACTTAATCCAAAAGGAGATGCCCCTAAAGCAGGGGTCCCTCAGACTGGCAGGTGAGGAGAGACATCTGTGTGCAGGGCCCACCTGGGTCAGCTGCGTGCCTGCCCAGAGACCAGCTGTGTACGACTCCACCCCTTCTGGCTCCCACTCACCGGATGCTGGCAGGCGGGTGCAGGAGCATGCCAGCTCCGAAACAGTCATCTGCCAACCTCAGCCCCTTTATCTTTGGTCACAAATAACTGCCCTGCTCCACGGTCTGAACCATGTCAAATCAGTGCCGCCACTGCTGCTTCGGGGGTGGGGGGGGATGGCGAACGGTGCCCCAGCCCCTGAGGACACGGCCACAGCAGTGCACACCCTTACCTGAACTCAGGTTTCACACCAATATCCTTCTGCTGAAGATCCTGAAGGCTCCTTGTGATTTTGTTAAAGGCAGCATCCTAACAAGAGATTTTAATGAAGCTTCGAATGTCTTAAAAGGCTTAGAACAGGGCTTCCATCCCAGATGATGATGATGGAGAACTTACCTCACTTGCCTCCATGGTCCCCACATATTTAAAGATCAGGTCGTAAATATCGTGCTGGACATACATCTGTGAAATCAACAGGACCCAGTTCAAGGCATGTGAGTGGGGGGTGGGCGACAAAGGAGCCCCCGGCACTGCCGTCTTCTCTCCCCTCGCTGCCCTGGCCCCTTACCTCTACGGCCTGTTTCATCAGGTTCATCTGGGCCTCCTGCTTGGCGAGCACTTTCTGGAGGACAAGACGAGTACAGTTACAGAGCATGGACTAGCATGTGGGCAAACTGTAAGTCTCTCTCTCTCTTTTTTTTTTTTTGGTTTATTTAGTTGATTTACGATGTTGTGTTAATTTCTGCTGCACAGCACAGTGATTCAGTTATACATATATATACCTTCTTTTTTTTATATTCTTTTCCATTATGGCTTATCACAGGATGTTGAATATAGTTCCCTGTGCTATACAGTAGGACCTTGTGGTTTGTCCATCCTATATATAATAGTTCACATCTGCTAACCCCGAACTTCCACTCCATCCCTCCTCCAACCCTCTCCTCCTCGGCAACCACCAGTCTGTCCTCTATGTCCGTGAGTCTGTTTCTGTTTCGTAGATAGGTTCACTCATGGCATATTTTAGATTCCACGCATAAGTGATATATGCTATTTGTCTCTCTCTTTCTGGCAGGTGTCTCTTTTGAACATCGTGCTGCTTACCAGGTGGGAGTCCCTCAGCAGCTGCTGGAGGCATCTGGTGTAGAGAGCATTCACGGAGTCCTGTGCAACACAGAGCAGAGAGAGGTCACCCTCATGATCCGAGGCCACGACACAAAACCCGGGACATGTAACATGTCCTGGGGCAAAGAGAACGTTTCACAAAATGGATTTCCTGGGTGACAAGCTCTAAATCCTAAAGCAAGCTTATCAAATCAAGTGTGTGATTTGTTTTTCAACTTTTTTTAGGTACATGCATTAAAAGTAGGAAAAAAAATTCCCCTTAGGGTTAACATAGATGATAACAATATTCATCTTTATACTTCTCTGTGATTTTCAAGTTTTCTACAGTGGTCTGTAGTACTTTTATAGGTAAAAAGAAACATTTAAACAAAACTTCCAACGATGGAGGCAGCAAAGTTACAGAGTGAACTGAGAGGGATCCTGGTGCTCTGAACTGGCCTGAGACAAAGCACGCTTAGCAAAGCAAGACACGGCTACTGACTATGTGATGACGGAGGCTCTTTCTTTCACACTCTCTGAACGTTCGCTGGAAAGAGGCGATGTTCCTGTCGAATCTCTCTGCATGTCTTCCCAAAAACTCTCTCACGTCTTCGATGGTTTTCAGGGAAAAGGGATCTGAGGGTGTTGAAGGCTCTTCTGAAAAAGAGACAGAGGGTCAGGCTGGCTGAAGGCTTCACTGTTTCCTAACAGGGCAAGTCCCACAACCCTTTGCCCTGCTCCTCCAGGATCTGACGCTCCATCTTCCACAGGAGGAGAGGGATGACCTTATTTCAAGATATCGCCCAAGAGCAGCCCAGTTGGGGATCCAGAGAGCCTGGTCCTCTTGAAGCCCTTTCCTGGGACCAAACCTGAATTATCTGGGACCCTAGGCATGACCTGTGAGGCTGTGGTGAGGAAGCCCTGATTCCTGACAATAAGAGCCTCAGATAGGAGCGTTTGGCACATTAATTGTTATCTCAACTTCGTGGAGCACCAAAGAATTATTACCTGTTAAAAATAATGAGATCTAGGGCTTCCGTGGTGGCACAGTGGTTGAGAGTCCCCCTGCCGGTGCGGGGGACGCAGGTTTGTGCCCCGGTCCGGGAAGATCCCACATGCCGTGGAGCGGCTAGGCCCGTGAGCCATGGCCGCTGGGCCTGCACGTCCGGAGCCTGTGCTCCGCAACGGGAGAGGCTACAACAGTGAGAGGCCCGCATACCGCAAAAAATATATATAAATAAAAAAAAATAATGAGATCTCAAAGAGGCACAGCAGTGGGGCTGGGTGGGTAATAATGCTGTAAGAGGTAGCCCTAAAGCCAAGGCCCAGAGACAAAGCCAGGGCTGCCACTTTGCACAACTCCAGGGGGCGCCATTCCCACTAAGGTCTATGTGTGTAACACCCAATATCTGCAACCACGCACAGCAGCCTAATCCACGTCACCTTGGCTCAGGATGACTTTCTGATTAAGTTTTAGGGGGAATTATTGTAAACAGTTATGCAGGTTTCTAGCGGGCTCTTGAATATTTTATGGGATGTTTACAACAGCTGCGTCAGGAGGAAGTTCAACAAGCACATTTCTCCCAATCAGGAGAAAGGGGTTTTCTCCCAGAATACCTGAACTCTCTCTCTTTTCCAAAGGATGGGCTATGCACAGTATGCTGAAACTTTCTTCTTTTTCATTGTAGAAAGTTTCTTCAAAGAGAATGGGCACGGAGAGAAGACAGGCGAAACCAGCTCCTAGTTTAATCCTGTTTCCTTGGATAAAGACATCCTGGAACAAGAGAGCCGTCACTGCACCAGCAGCCCGTGTGACTGCCGACCCCTCAGCCTGGTCCCCATGCGGCACTTCACCCCACCCGCCTGCCTCTGCTCCAGTGTGGGTTTGGGGGGGCACCAACACTCTTCCAGCTTGCTTTCTGATACTAACATGTTTTCTTCCCTCTTTGTTCACCCTGTCACTCCAGCTACATAGTACCCTGATTCTTTTCACATGTTGCAACCCAAAAGCACTGTACCCTCCGCAAAAGGAAAAAGTAAGAAGGTTCTCCTCTCTGAATAAGAGATCAGAATGACCTGACGCTGCGACCCAGAAGCACCAAAGGATGCGCGCTGCATCCCCTCCACGGCTCATCACTCTGGCCGTGGCCAAGGTGCCCGGGAAGACCAGCCACGATGAGCCCAGTGCCTCTGTTCTCTTGGTAGATTTGGGTACCAGGAAGAGAACAAGTAAACTGACGGGCAGCTGTGGTGAGCAGATCCCTGACAGGAAAATGGAAGCATGCTTGGGAGCCACAGGGCTGCAGACCACCCCTCACCCCAGACTGGCGTACTGGTACCCACCCCCCTGGACCCATCCCTCCTTGACGCCCCCCCCAATGCCCACGGCCCCGGCTACACCAGTGTGGGCCCCCACTCCTGACTGCGGGTAGGCTGGGGACCACGGCCAGTCCTGACCAGGGATGGAACCTCCCCCTCTCGGAACCTATCTGCTTCCGCTTAAAAAAAATAAGAGAATGCCTACCCCAAAGTTAACATCAACAATGAGACAGACTGACGTCACATGCCTCCTGACACGATGCACTGAGAGAGATAAAACACCCTTCCGAGGCGTTCCTACTGAAAAGGCATAACTGCGATCTAATCATGGGAAACATCAGAGAAACCCACACTGAGGGAGAGTCTACAAAGCAAGACAAAAATGTCAATGTCATGAAAGACACAGACTGAGGAGCCGTTCCAAACGGAAGGAAACTAAAAAGACTAACCACTGAATACACTGCATGATCCCAGACGTGATCCTGGATCTAAAAAAATAGATCTTTTTTGCTATAATAGGGTATTACAACTAGCAGAATTTGTTGAAGGACAGTATGCTGGGACTTCCCTGGTGGTCTAGTGGTTAAGACTCTGCACTTCCAATGCAGGGGGCGCGGGTTCAATCCCTGGTCAGGGACTAAGATCCCACATGCTGGGGTGCGGCCAAAAAACCCAAAAAAGATTAAAAAAGGACAGTATGTTGGAGAAGCGTATTCTATCAATGCTAAATTTTGTGTGATCACTGTGCTGTATTATAGGAAATACACGTTGTTTTGAAGCAAAGGGACATGGTGTCTGCAACTTTTAGTCTGTCTGAAAAAGGTTCAGAAAAAGTAATAATGTGTGGTGTAGACAGATAGAGAGATAGACAGATGGATAGATGGGGATAGGGGTGAGGAAATAAAACAGATGTGGCCAAAATGCTAACAGCTGACCAATCTGGGCATAAAGGTATGTGAGAGTTCTCTGTACCTTACTGAAACTTTCTATAGGTTTGAGATGATTTCAAAACAAAAAATTCTTAAATTAGAAATTCGTCCCTGATCCCAAGGGCACTGGGGATAAACAGCTTGCTCTGACAGGGCCTCTCTGGGGAGGTGTCCCAGCCACTCCCCGACTCCCCGGCAGAATACCCACGGGCTGAGGGAGAGGTGCCCGGCCCTGCCTCACCTCCTGGCTGCAGCCAGCTCCTCCGCCCTCAAAGGTAGCAGGGCTGCTGTGGTGTCAAAGCCATCACGTAACACAGACGTGAAAGGGTGAGAAGCAGGATTCTCTCCCCTCCCCCACTCCCAAACACTGAGTGAGTGGCCCTGGTTGACCCACAAGAAACGAAAGAATACCTTTCCATTTAAGGTCTGAAAGTGTTCTTCCACTGGGATCAAAATATAGGACTCAAACTGACAAGTAGACTGAACACTGCCTGACAGGCTTCCTTTGCAGGGTACTAACACCTGGAAAAAAACAAATTAGGGTGAATACTCAACAGACGTGTCATTTACAACTTCAGCAGAACACGAGGCATCTCAAGATGCTCCAGCAGAACTGCCACGGGGACCTCCTGGCAGAGAGGACCTCTGGGGTCACTGGCCAAAGGGGCAGCAGCTGATCTGTTGCCACTGTGATGGAAGCTGAGGCCTCCACCCAGCCGAGGGAGGAAGCACACGCCTCCCCCATCCCGGGGCCTCAGACCGGAGGGCTCACTCCCACCCCGCTGGGCCCTCCCTGCAGCTACCCCAGGGGCCCCCTCTGTCCTCAGCAGGCTCAGGAATGATTCCAGATGAAGAAACGATAGTTTGAAAAGTACAGAAAAGTGAAACTAAAAAATCGCACGGCATCCCACCACCTGAATGATAAACGCAGCACAATGAAGACAGTTTCCTTCCCATCTTCTTTCTATGCTTTTTTAAGCTGAACTGTGATCACAGTTTGTTTTACCAGCCACAGAAATACAGTTTCCTATTGCAGGCTGCCACCTCCACCAGAGATGTCTCAGGTGCCAGACTGTGTCTCTGGGGCAGCCTCAACCTGAAACGTGAATTTTGGTCCCACCGTGGCCACCATGTTGACCGGGCACCAGCTTCTTTGCTCAACACAGCAAAGGCAACCACACGTGTATCTGTGCTCGGCCCAGGGACTCACGTTTAAGAGGAATCTCTCAGATTCAAGTGCACCTGGGAGATGACGACCAAAGTGGTGATGTCCCTCAGAGCCCCAGGTCCTAAAGCAGCCTGGCGCAAGGCAAGCAGCTTCTGCACTATCCCCACTGGACAGACAAGGAAACCGAGGCTCAAGGAAGTGCAGCAACTTGTCCAGGGGCACGCAGCCAGTGAGTGACAGAGCCAGGACTCAACCTCCTGTTCCCCACCTCACCACAGCCCAGTCCTGTGGCCTCCTGGAGGCCAGTGCTGGGAGCAGGGAGCACAGCCCAGCATATGCTGAAGTTTCCTCTGTGAAGACACCACGAAACTCTGGGGCCTTCAAGAGCAGCTGTCATTAGGAGCTTCCTCAGGCAGGTCAGAAAGAGCTTCTCTCCCCACGAGGGATATGCCAATTGCTCACGGCAGAAAAGGGAGGCCCTCGTTGATGGAAGATCACAACTGTCTATGAAGTGGGCTTGCCTCTCTGCAAAAAATCAAGACTGAATCAGACCCAGAGCTAGACTTAACTACCAAGTTCAGGAAATACAGAGACCAGAGGACCATGGTAAACACCACCACAGGACTGCAACCGGCACAAGCCAGAAGGCAGGAAACTCTACAGGATGAATGACCTTGATACTTGAATTGTGAGCAAAGAAGGAAAACGAGGAAAGTGGGGCTTATAGTTAAAAAAACAGACTGTGGTGATGATTTCACAAGTCTACACACATGTCAAAATGGATCCAGTTTTACACACTGAGTAGGTACAGTTTAGTTGTTCTTTTCAAAGTTTAGCTCAAGAAAGTTAGGAGGAAAAGAGATTTAAAAGGCATACCAAGCAACAAGAATTTACTGTATAGCACAGGGAACTATATTCAATATCTTGTAATAACCTATAATGGAAAAGAATCTGAAAAAA